GAAATATAAAACTTATTTTTTATATAACTCCTTAAGTGATCTAAATCCTTTATTTAAAACAACTTACCTATGATAACTCTTCTGACAGAGTTAAACACTCTTTTTATAATATGAGACTTCGCATATTTCTATTAAGTGAGATAACTACATCAACACATTTCTGAGATTAGTTGTTCTTAACAATTCATTTTAATAACATCTGATATGCTGGTTGGAATTTGTGGTTGTTTCATGTGCCTATCTTATTAAAATTTCAAGCATTCCTAAAGCATTCATGTTGGAAAGTGACTTAGACAAAATTTTGCGCAATTGGTTAATTTTGTATCAGAAAAACTCCTGAGAGGTTGAATAATTTTGCAGTTAACTGATGCCAGACCACTGTAAACAAGAAACAAAATGTGAATCAAATGCTACCTTCTCTGTGAAGATGGAATCCATGTCAAGCAAAAAATGTGACTTCAGAAATTCGCTTTGCAAATTAGTCCAGTAATTGTCTATCATGTCACCTGGCATCGGCCCACAGCCTTCCAGTAAGACACCTGATAGAGGAAAGACAGCAGAGTGAGAATGTGGTATCCCTTCTCGTCTAAGCCCTCCTTAGGCAAGGCTCCCTCAATCCAGCTCTCTCCTCCCAATACAAGTTGGGGTAAGATGTTTTGGAGGGATAAGCTCTAGTTATGAAATGCTCTAAGACAGGAAAAATTCAGATAATGTGCTTGTGTGACCATGAGAGTGTGTTTTACTGCTGGGATGAGGTGAGTCATACAGAGAACTAGGTGGAGGGGTAGAAGAGAGCTGTGATATCCCTGGAAATAATTTGCTCCCATGTCACCCTCGGAAAAGGCATCTCCCTTAAATCAATCTGGCATAATGAATGGTGTGATACCTGGTGGCCTGCACAGTTATAAATACACAGCCTTTCATTCTAGAGATGGCCCATTACCACTCACTAAAACAGTCTGTCACAGTGGTGCTCTGGGGCCATTCATTTTTCATGACCTTCTTGGCGACGTGACTGGGATTTCCTGAAACCACACATAGGTCCCTGCCCAGCAAGCGCTCTGCGTTAACATCCCTTAATTCTTCTCTTCCAAAGGTTATCATGTCCTGTGGGGTGTGTATGTGTGTGTGTGTGTGTGTGTGCGTGCGCGCGCGTGTGTGTCTTCCCTAGCAGGCAAAGTAACAAACAGCACAAACTAAACTTGACCTTGTTGGAAATACAGTTTATCCACAGAGTGAATGTTGGCTAAAATTTAATCTTATGACATCAGGAATGTTCAAAGTTTACACAGGAGGTAAGAAATTTTAAAAATCATTTAAAAAAGTTATCTCACCATCCCCAAGGTTCAGATTTCACATCATGAAAGGCACACTTTAGCAGAGCAATTGCAGCAAAGCAGGGCCTTCTTATTTGCTGGCTGCTTCAAATAACAGTTGTCCCTTTGATAATATTGACACCTATCTCCTTCACAATCTAGTGCTTCTCCTGCACTTGGTAACATATCCCATCTGTTTTTTTAGGGCCACTGTCATAAGGATGCCTGGAAGAGTGAAGAAAGGCCTGATTGATCACAAGGTCCTATCAAATGTCAAAGCTGGCCCTGGCTGACCTCCCATCTATTCAGAGCTGCTTTGATTTAATCTCCAAACTGGCTGCTTCTCCAGGCTGTGAGTTCTGTCTGCAACCCATGTGTCAGCATTGAGATATGACCGGCTTCACGCTCCATTCATCTCATTTGAAGGACGGAAATTAAACTCGAGGGTCGAAGAGGGGAACTGCTCAAAATACACACACATTAACTGAAGCCTTTTGTGTGGGTACATTATAGGAGTTTGAACAACCATTAAAAATTATATTAAAATGAACTTGATCTTTACTCCACTGAAATGGTTTAGAACTTTTCCTCCCCTCACTGCCCCTTCATCTATTCTTTTTTCCCTCCCATATTTGTAGTAATCATATGAACCTGATCTCATTAAGGTTCAAAGTGAAAGAGAGAAAAATTTACATTTTTTCAGTTTCTTTAAAAATGATGTCCATTAGAAAATTCACTTTGCCTGTAATTTGCACAGTAAATATTTTTTTAAAGAGATAGGAGAAGCCAGTAACCAGACTAATAGAAATGCAGACTGGTTTGTTTAGCGCTATTGATTCACTTCAGTTTCACTTTGTAAGGTTTTTTAAAAAATTAATTAAAACTCAAATTTTGGGAATAGTTCTGTAACTATCAAGACACATTAGTATGGTATAAATCTGTATACCCTAGGTTCTGTTCTTATTTCTAAACTCTTTTTGCTCTTTTCATTGGCCCTATTATACTACCAAGGCTAATAACTAAGTGAAACTTGATTCCTTACAGATTTGTTTGCATAAAAAGTTCAAAAACAAACTATGTTATTTACTAGAAGTGCCTCAAAAGTATTAAAATAAAATAATTATAAATGTGTTAGAAAAGTTAGTTGCATTTATTTCTGTGTGTATTCATTTGCTCATGCATTCATACATTTAAACTCTGTATGATAATGGCATCCAGGTAGGAAAAATATTGTTGCTTGTTTAATTAAAAGGATATACTGTACATTTCCACTAAAATAATAGTACATATTCAATATAGAAAAGACAATTGGCAAAGACAGGCAAGAAAGAGAGAGGGAATAGCAGACATCAAAAATACTATTGACCAGAAGTAACCAACATTAATACCTTTGTGTTTATGTTTTCTTTTTTGTTGGTAAATGCCCACTTTTTATTTTCCTCATGTAAAATCATACTGTTTCTGCTTGGGAGAAGACTACATTTTTGATTGTTATATCACTTTTTATGGAAATGATTATTTTGTTTGGTAATATTGTATTAATAGCAATTCAGATTTTTAAGTTTTTTCACTATTATAAATATTATTATGTAAAAATATAATTATATAATATTTTATTTATAATGTTTCCTTTATTTTCTTCAAAATACTCTAATTTGGGGGAAAAAGATGTGCTCAATTTAATGGTATAGTTAAAACTGTGGTCTTTTGTTTTAGGGTTTTTCATTTGAATACTGACTTGGAATTAACTTTCCTTCTCAAATAATCACTTGTGTTTTCTTTGAGACATGTCATTTGTTTTATATATAACATATGAACAATGGAATGAGTACTGTAGTGAATACTGATACTATTTCTACATAAACAATTTCATGGGACTTATGAAAAATCTTTCCAACTATGGTCATATGGAGAGAAACATTTGAGCATCTGAGGCATTCAAATAATGCTGTTTCAGCATCTAGGTTTCTAAGTAGGGAAGCGGAAGAACAAAGGATGATTGTATCTGTCTTGTAGTTTTCAGTAAAATCTTTCTTTCTCCATATCCTTATGTTAATATCTTATTATTCATGGTGGAAATGTTGAATAAATGCACTTTGCAAGTTAATTCATTCTTTGCAGTGCCAGGTGGAAAGTAGGCTCATTCTTTTAATATGGCATAGCATTTTCAACAGAAATTTTTGCAATGGTGGAAATGTTCTGTAATTGAACTGTTCAACATGGTAGCCACCAGCTACATGTGGCTATTGAACACATGAAATGTGACTCATGTAACTGAGAAACTGAATAAAAAATTTTATGTAATTTACATTTAAATCAATTAAACCACATGTGATTAGTGGCTATCATATTGGACAACACAGCCTTAATAGTCTTAGCATTGTTTAGACCATTTTAATAGTTTGTGAAGCATTGTAGACATTTACCCAGTTACTCAAGTTTATTTCATTGAAGAATAAATATAAGATGATGAAGAACTTCCAGTCTCAGAATATAATAACAATAAACAATTACATTTGCCCTGAGAGATGTTTTTCGCAGTTTCTTTCAGAGAAGAGAATTGAAAATTTCAACAAGGCAAAGGTGATGAAAGTGTCTTCATGGGGCCCTTGGGTAACATAAAATGGCAAAGAATAGGATGATCTGGGTTCTAAGATCTGGCCTTAAAACTAGCCATTTATTTGATTGAGTAAGTTACTTCACTTTTTGGTGGTCCTAGTCTCTTGATATTCACCACACAGGGTTTGGAAACAATGAATTTCTTTGTTCCTAGTATGGCTAAATTATATGAATTTTTTCTGTCCTGTATTCAGAATCAAATACTAGTTTTTCCTTCATACCTCAATAATGTGTATAAGCACCCAGTGCCAGATGCATTCTAAGTGTTCAGTAAGTATTTGTTGAGTGAATGGATGTACTTAGTTGTCTGCTTGGATCAATAGCTCCTTTAACTCTCCATTATTAAAGCTTGATATTTTCCACACCTAGACTTAAGCAAAGTTTTTAAACATGGACGTTTTTGATGCAGGTGAAATATTTTGTTACAGAGTGGTAGAGAATCACTGGGTACAACCCTCTGCTCTTGAATTCCTTAAAGGGCCTACTTCCAGAGATGGCCAAGAAAGTTTGGGATTCTGGCACTCAGTTGATTTTCCTAAAGAAAAGCCCTCAGGATGTGCTCAAAGAGCTGGATCAGGCACACTGAGGTGATGACGGGAGGTCAAGAAAATGGCCAGAATGTAACCAAGATTTAACTTCCCAGAACACTCATATATGATTTTTCTGAAAAGTACTTTCCGCACCTTAGCGATATTAACTACTTTGAATACTCAAGTCCAGAATAATTATATTTTCCTTCTCTTACATTCTGACACTTATATATATTATTTACGAGACATTTAATACTACTCTTTGGAGAATAGTTTATTTGTAGCATGATGATGTCTTTTTAATCCAATGAAACTGTTAGCTTCAATAAGGACAGAGATACTACTTTATTTCTGGCACATAGTTCTCTGTATCTTCCAAACTCCAGCACAGTGTAATCTCCTCAGCATCAGACATATGGGAAAATACTATCTAAACAGGAAAGTGATGTACAAGCATTAGTAGTTGTTATTATGATTAGAATTGATGTTTCAGGTAATTTAATAATTACTCTTACTTCTGGTACATACCCTCCTCCAGGAACGGAAAAGCTCGTCAGTGTTTTCTGGGCTTAGCATAGATGTCCTGAGATCTTAGCATTTCTAGGATTTCAGACTGTACAAGAATATACAAAGAACATTTATCATGCTCTCCATTCAGAAGAGATAATATTAAAAATTAATAACCATTTTGGTCTACTGGGATGCAACATAATTCAGGAGAGGAGGTCCGTCGCTATCTTTTTCAAGGGCAATTCACAACAACACTTTGCATGATAAATTCCTGAAGCTTGATGTTCTTCTCACTGTTACACAATGTGAGTGTTGACAAGGTCTTCTTTTAAAAATAACAATATTTTATTTTAAATTAGTTCATCTGTTTGGGGAGAAAGGGAGCAGTGTGTACCTATATAGGTGTTCACATCCTTTAGTCCCATAAATTTCACAACTAAAACTATATCTTCTTTTTTTGTGTGTTTGTTTGTTTGAGATGGAGTCGCACTCTGTTACCCAGGCTGAAGTGCAGTGGCATGATTTCAGCTCACTGCAGCCTCCGCCTTCTGGGCTCCAGTGATTCCCCTGCCTCAGTCTCCTAAGTAGCTGGGATTACAGGTGCCCACCACTGCACCCGGCTAATGTTTGTATTTTTAGTAGAGATAGGGTTTCACCATGTTGGCCAAGTTGGTCTGGAACTCCTGACCTCAGATGAACCACCTGCCTCGGCCTCTCAAAGTTCTGGGATTACAGGCATGAGCCACCACTCCCAGCCTAAAACAATATCTTAAAAAAAAATAGTTCACGTAAGAAACAAAAATATTAAGGAAGGAATGACTTTACTTGTGACTTATTTATGATAAAAGGAACTTGGAAACAATTTGGATGCCCAATATTAGAAAAATCTTAAATAAATTATACTAGCAAGAAAACACATTAGAAAGATGTTAACATTAGCACTTTAGAGCTTAGCCAAATATATAGGAAAATGGTTTTTTGGAAAAGTATAATGCTATATTTGTACACAAGTATGTGAAATGTTCATATGTATATGAATGCTAACATTCCCCAAATGCAAAGACTTATTTTACTGGGGTTTACATTGTATAAAAAACATGACTTTAAAACTAAAGCCAGATTTAAATTCCAGTTCTTCCATAAGCTGTGTGACACTTGTAAATAGATATCCTCTCCGGATATCTATTTCTTTATTAGCTAAGAGTGTGTGTGTGTGTGTGTGTGTGTGTGTGTGTGTGTGTGTGAGTTAAACAAGCAAAGCCACTTAAAGAGTCTAGGATATAGTAGGAGCTCAATGCTATTATTTCCCTGTCCCTTTGCCAAATACCTGAGACTTCCTCGGTTTAAAAAGTTTTGTTCAAATTGACTGATTTTTATAGAAATTTCAATGTCATTGTTTTTGACTCATGTAAGTATTTGTAACAATGACACTCTATTGATCAATGTGATAATTATCCTATAATTGGTCAATAATCTTTACATTTGAATAGATTTCAGAACAGTATTAAATATCTTGGGTTGGAGGTTAATTTCTATAAACAAAAATGTATATCTAACAGTGTTGCATTTTAACTGATCTTGACTATAAACAAGGTCAATTTGTGTTCATTTCCCACATATCATTGACATTAAATTTTGGGACGCTTACATCTGACTTATGTTTGATCAACCTTCTGGGAGTATCTCTCCATAGATTTGGGGATGAAATATCTCCCAAATATAATGCAATTTCAGAATGCCTAGAAACTCACTATATAGTATATATGCATGTTTAAAAAGAAACTGGTCTCTTACATGAAAAAAGAAGGGTAATAGTAGACAAAATGACTGTTGCCACTTGGTAGCAGGGGCCAGAGAGATCAGGAAAAGGAATAAACAAGAGGATTAAAATTATTTTTCAAGTAAGGCTATACCTCTGTACACATGCTTAATTACAAAAGGAAATTAGGAGCAAGTGCATGTATGCTACTGCATCTATTAACATACAATTTAATCAGTTTGGAGTAAATTAATGACTGTTTGCAATATTTCTGGTAATTTGTTATAAGTTTTGTGATTTTTTAAATTGGTTTCTTGCAAATGCTGGATAAAACATTTGAATTCACACATTGCTTTAGGAATTGATTTGGGGATAATAAAATATAATGAAATGTTTTACCTCAGATGGATCTAATTTATATTTGCTCTGTACCCTTTTTAAAAACCTGAATGCAAATAATAAGGACACTGCTAGGATGTTTAGAGGAGCTGTAACTGTAAGTTACTCTTATTTCTTTTTATTAAGTGAACTCTTTCAAAATTCCATTCTCTCGAGGTGGTAGAGAACAAGGACAAATCCTACAGGGGCTTCCCTTTTTTATCCAAAAAAATTACATATGAATTTGAAAGACAAGGAGGTAAAAATCTGGCAACTCAGCAAAGAAATGATTATAAAAATCTAAGAATCGGGACATTTGCATTTTGACCACTAAGGAGAAGTTTCATGAGTTCTCAGTTAGTCTGTGATAGTGACAGGACTTCATTTGATCAACTCTCAAAAGGAGAAGATGCCGTCACTATCACCTGATGTGAAAATTACCTGATTCTGGAATGATTCTGGAAAAACATGGTAATTATTCTTCCAAGACAGTCAAAAAGAATAAAGCAAAGGTGTTCATTATCATCCTATTTTTCGATTTATAAATATTGCTTTCTTGATCTGACAATACTTGGAAGTATTTAAAACAAAAAGAGGTCTGGGCATATGAAACCACTCGAGGCACATAGGACTCCTTTATATCAGGGAAATTATCATGGTATTAGATTATTCTTTTTTTCCTTGTTAGCTGGGTATCCATTTCCTGCTGGATTTCTTTACTCCAATTAGGATTTTCAGCTTTCAGGAGTACAGTCACCCCAAATTTGCTCACTCTCTTTTTGGGATCTTCTTTTGCCAATGTTTTCTTTTATAATTGATTATGTAGTAATGGGACTTAAAAAATAACTCTTGAATAGGTTATAACTCAAGCGTCCCAGAATTTGTGCCCAGATTACCAATCATATGACGGCTAGCAAAGCAATGTATTTTTTCTTAAACTTTGTTTTCCATTTCTGTGATTATCCTACATTTTATGAATTTTTTTCGTAGGTACCTAATCTTCTCATGCTAATTATTTTCTCTCACCTTCAAGCAAGAAAGACTTTAGTAAAAAAGCCTTTCCCAACACCATCTCCTTTCTGTTTCTTCTCATTGAAGTTTGCACTTCAATGAGTTTGGGAGTTTATTGCATTATGCATTGCAGCTTTTGACATACAAATTGGATCTCCCATTAGCCGGTGAGCTCCTTGAAAGCAAGAACTGTATGTGATTATTCTTTGTAGCTTAGGTATATTCATAGCACATAGTGGGTACTCAACACATGCTAACTTATTTAGAATAAGGTGTAATGAGTAATAAAAATCATCTTTTTTATTCATAATGCATTGCAACAAGTGTAGATGTCCAGAGGTAAACTTTATACTACAAAAGTAAAGATTTTGTTTTGGGGAATTTTGGACAGTGGTAAGTATGCAGACAACTTGAGTCTTATTTTTGTCTTTAATCACAGGAGTCATTTTGGTATATAGAAAGTCAGATCACAAAAATGCCTTCCCTCTCTTCCTACCTCTGAAGACTTCTATGTATTTTTGAGTTTTTTGCTTCGAATCTCACTTTCCAATAGTTTCATTCTTGGTTATTTGCTGGAAACTTAAAGGGGTCAATAATGCATGGGAGTGTGTAGCGGGTGGGGGGTGGTCTTTTTTGTTTCTTTTATTTCTATTTGTTCTTTTTTTTCCTTTTCCTTCTTTTTTTTTGAACAAAGAGCTCTTCCCAGTGCTATTTGGCTTCCTTACCGCCACCTTTTCCTTTTTAAGGTAGCAGAAAAGATAATAGTAACATCATTTCAGTTTTTAAAAATGAAAGTTCAGAGTCTGAGTTGCTTGAACTCACTAAGAATGAAAAACCAGAATTTTTTTTTTTTTTTTTTTTTTTTTTTTGAGACAGAGTCTCCCCCTGTTGCCCAGGCTGGAGTGCAGTGGTACGATCTTGGCTCACTGCAAGCTCTGCCTCCCGGGTTTACGCAGTTCTCCTGCCTCAGCCTTGCGAGTAGCTGGGAATATAGGCGCCCGCCACCTCGCCCAGCTAATATTTTTGCATTTTTTTAGTGGAGACGGGGTTTCACCGTGTTAGCCAGGATGGTCTCGGTTTCCTGACCTCGTGATCTGCCCGCCTCGGCCTCCCAAAGTGCTGGGATTACAGGCGTGAGCCACCGCGCCCGGCCGAAAAACTAAAATTCTTATCACTACTCTTCATTTCCCAAATTCATTACCCTCTTATAGTATAAAACTTTACACAGCATGTCATTGTCTTAGGATATTTTCTCAGTTACTTAAAGGTCAAGTACACAGAATTAGATATGATGGAATGGCTTGTTTGAGTAACTCTGTATTACACTGGCCTTACTGCACTTAAAACCTAAGCAATGTTCATGTCCATCAACAGACTAAGGTCTATTTGTCTAGGTTTAAATGATGTATTAATTTAATTTATTTGTCAACACAGCTAGTCTCTTTCAATATTTTTAAAACATCAACACGGTGATTAAAATAATAATAATCTGTAGAAAGTTAAGATTAAATCTATGTCTATGTTAAAATTGGCCACACTTCACAGAACCATTTTGGTATGCTTAGCACTAGATAAATTTATGTGACAAGAGTAAAATTAGACAATCTATGACGTATGTCATCAGAAACATACCATCAATGAATAGGTTGAATATTAAAGTCCCATTGCTAGAAGACTGTTAATAACTCCTATACTTTCTTTATTCTTATAATTTAGGTAAGCATCACCATGTTCAACGATTAGACCTAACTCAGTCTTTGTTTGCAGAGATCACTGAAAAATTCCCACAAATGATACAACTAAATGTACTTCCTTTTTATATGGAAAAACCTCATAATATCTAACAGAGATAGATCTGCTAGAAGATATTAACAACAGCAAAGATAGCAGTTATACCACATACGGGAGTCTTTCTTTTCTTTACTGAAATCAAGATCTTCTAAAAAGTGAACATA